TGCCCCTAGATTTTCTTTGAGGAACTATATAGTTTTAGGTTTCACATTTAAGTCTTTGATCCATCTGGAGTTCGTTTTTGTGTATGATGTGAGGTACAGAACTTGTTACAACAGTCCATCCTATCTTGCAGCTCTCTTAACTTCCTCACCATTTACAAGTTCTGTGACTACACAGTCTTTTCCCTCTTTTTGTTGTAGTTGTCCTCACTTGCCAACTGATGTCTCTGGTTCCCTGTTTACAATCTTGTAAGCTTGTTTTACTTTGGATGGTCACCACTCTTCTTGAAATAAAGGCTCTTCGCCTGCCCCTGCCCCTCAGGGTTATGATTCTTTTCTCATGTACTTCAAGTCCCACTTTTTGGTCTCTTGAGGAATTCGGACGTTACTGAAAATCACCAGTTTTTGATGAGAACCACTAACTGATGCCACCTCTTTACCAGTGCATCTGGTACGCCCTGGCTTCTCCTTGGGAACCTGGCTCTTCCTGCTGTTTTCTCCCCCTGGCTTTTGACTCGGGACATCTAGCTGACCCTACTCCCTGGGAGTTTGGCACTCTCTTCTTGCCTCTGATCAGTTCCTTAGGTTTTTCCTCTTTCCCTCTTCCCAGTTTCTCCCTGTGACATTAGGGTTCAGGCAGACTCTGCTCTTCTTCGGTTTGTGTCTCCATCTCTGGTTACCATGGTTTTCAGAATTGCTTGCATGTCAGAGTCACTGAGGGTCACGGTGCTTTTTGGAACACCATGAAATAACAACATTTAATTACACCACAAAAATTAGCATCCACATTTCCAGCAGAAGTATTTTTATTACATGTTTTCAGGTCTCTATGACTCAGTAATTTGTTGAAAATTTTTTTTTTTTCTTTTTCCCTTCTGATCTCCCATGATTGATTGTTCTAAGTAGTATACCTACCTAGTGTAAACGTTCACCTTGTATGCCTCGCTGTTGTTGTTTGGCTGGAAGCCAGGGGAGTGAGTTCAGTTCCAGTCCTGAAGAGTGACTGGGGCCATAGTCTCAGGGTTTCATCAGTCTCTATCAGACCAGTAAGCCTGGTCTTTTTTATGATTTTGAGTTTTATTCCACATTTTTCTCCCACTCTATCCAGGATCTCCTGTACTGATCCCTTTCCAAGTGGTTATATTTTTATAAGCTACATTAAGCCTATTTACCTCTAATATTAATTTGTCACATGTTTATTAATGTTGTCATCTGCTAATAAGTACAAAAAGTTTTACCTCCCAAAAAAAAAAAACCTTAATATTTTTATTTCTGTACATTCACCTAATTTTTTCTGTGAATTGGGGAAATGGCATTATTCTTCAGTTTTGGCAGCAGATATAAGAGTCAGCTTGATGGAAGTGAGTTTGTTGTTGTTATGTGCCGTCAAGTCAGACCCGACTCATAGTGACCCCTCCTTGGGTTTCCAAGGCAGTATCACTATGGAAGTAGATTGCCCAACCTTCCTTCCAAGGAGTGGCTGGTGGGTTTAAACCGCCAGCCTTCTAGTTAGCAGTCAAGTGCCTTAGGCACTATGCTACCAGAGCTCCTGGAAGTGAGTTTAGGTTTCTTTTTCTCGGGGGGAGCGCCTTATGTATGTGAGAAGGAGCTCTGGTGGCGTAGTGCCTAAGGCATTTGACTGCTAACCAGATGGTTGGTGGTTCAAACCCACCACCCACTCCTTGGAAGAAAGATGGGGCAATCTACGTCTGTAAAGATTTACCACCACAGAAACCCAACAAGGGTCACGATGAGTCGAAATCGACTCAATGGCAGTTTGGTGTTTTTTTTGTTTTTGTTTTTGTTTTTTAAATGTGTGTGAGAGGCAGGTCTCTATCTTCGTTTAACAAACATTTATAATTTATAGAGCACCTGCTGTTGGCAGGGAATAAAATATAATGCCTGCCTTTGGGAGCTTGTAATTTATGAAGGAGACAGACACACAAATAATGTTTATCATACACTTTGATGAGTGCCATGATAGTGAGATGCAAAGAATTATGGGACATCTCACATACCTGGCTATAATCAACATTTAAAATACACAAAAAAATGTTATATGGGGATGAGATTATGTGTAATAATTTATTTGCTTATGCATATCTATATTTTAAAAATATATATTATTGTGACATACACACACACACACACATATATGTTTGTTGTTGTTATATATATATATAATCAAATAAAAGGTATATGTGTGTGTATGTAAATTTTTTTTTTTTTCTTTTTTTTTTTTTAAGATACTCCTCACATTTTAACAGAAACTTCAGGTCCTTTCCATGCTTCTCAAGTTTTACAAACACTTTGTTAAAGGGACATCTTGTGAAAGGCCCTTAAGCCTAGAACTAAACAGCTGATTATTTATTGGTCTGACTCTTAGTGATACAGAGATGAGTAAGAAAGAAAAAATATTACACGCTAGCTTCGAAAATGTTTGCTGTCTCCTTGGGGGCTCCAGTCATCCTTAGAATCTACAATCGTTTACACTTGGTCCAGTCGGCATTAATCTGCAGCTGTGCTTGGTAAAGGGGGTGCCTTAGGGTCACACTTGCCATTCTCTGGGGCATGGTGGAAGGCCTAAGGGTGGACCCTTCTCCTAACTTAGTGCTCTAATTCCTGTATTTCTTCCCCTTCTTCCACTAGCCTCTGAAAGCCAGAATGGGAATGGACTGAGCACCCTGCCAGGTCCTGGTGGGGTCCCACACCCCCCTCATGCTCCCTCCCATCCACCCAGCACCCGAATCACCCGCAGCCAACCCAACCATACGTCTGCTGGCCCTCCCGGCCCCACCAGCAACCCTGTCAGTAACGGCAAAGAAACCCGAAGGAGCAGCAAGAGATAGCAAAGTGCTATCCGTCCCTTCCTGCCACCAACCACAACCCAGGTGTCTTGGGGAACAAGACAGCCTTCAACTGGGCTGCCGGCTTAGGAGGAGGGGGTAGCGGTCTTTTAGCCACTAAAGTTCATCCATGGGGCAGCGAGCAGCGGCCTTATCTACCCTAAACCCATGCTGCCCCCTTGTCCAGCTGAAGCTACCTGTCCCCTGGGATTCAAGTCGCCCTGCCTGCCCTCCTTCTTCTTTAGAAGTGACAGTTATCGTCTGTTTCTTGTGTGTGTGATATGGGAGGCTAACTAACTGAAATTCCCCTTTCCTAATAAATGTTATCATTTCTGTGCTGGACTCCTGTGCTTTTTGTGTGAGAAGGAAGAGGTAAGCAGCTGGGCATTTGGAAAGGTAGGGTGTCCCTGGGAGGTGGAGGGGAGATGGTTACAGATAAGGAGGTCTAAGCAAAGCAGGCCTGCCCCTTTAAGGTGGTGTCCCTCCCCTCCACCCTCCCTGCCTGTGACCCTTGCCCGCCTGCATACTTACAACCCCCCCAAGCTGGAACCAAGAAGGCTGTGTCCCCCTTCCTCTGGGCGTCCTTTCCTCTCTCCTGCCGTAAGGTAATGCCAGCCTTGACCCCCACAGACCAGCTGCCCCGAACAACTTGTGTTCCTCAATCGAAAGCCAGGTCAGACATCTGAGGGGAGCCCAGCTTCTTCCTTCCTCTCCCCACAAGGGTTTCCCCTTTCCTCATCATTGATTCCCAGAGTTCTGGCTCTCTTCCTGGGGTGAGGAATTGTTAAGAACAGTTTCCTCCTGATGCATCTGAGGTTGTAACTGATCTGCCTCTTCATCCTCCCCAACTTAGGGACACCTGGGTCCAACTTTCTCAGGAAATGTAGGGGTAGGGGTTGGAGGTGAAGCCCAGTGCCAGATGTAAGGTAGGTGGGATGGGAGTGTATGCAGGAAAAGGCTAAAATGGTTCCAACTGGGTTAGAGATGGGGTGGATTATTCAGAGGGAAAAATAGCCCAGCTTCTCCTTAGCCATGTGGCTCTTCCAGGGCAGAGGGTGGCCCCTCCCTACTCAGGGGCCTAGCTAAGACTGACCTTTGACCCCTACCCTCTGAAAACAGTGAACCATTAACTCCTCAGGATGTGAGTCTTCCCACTCTGGCCCCACCCCTGGCCCCGCCCCAAGGCAGGTGGGTTAGGAGGAGGGCTTGTCCATGTCAGCCAGTCTACCTGACGTGGCCTCCATTCCACCTGGACACCTGGTGGTTGAGACCAGTCTCCCTAGCTCCACCCCCACCCACAAAACTCTTCATCTCCACAGCAAGGCCTGACGGAGACCCAAAGTGACGCTCTCACGCTGCCAGTGGGGGTGAGGCATTGGAGACTGAGGGGCAGAGGCATGGGTCAAGGTGGTAGAGGGGTGGGATGTGGGGAATAAGGGAGGGCCAGTCAACTCCAGATCAGGTGTGGGAGACAGAGCTCTGGATTAGGGCAAGGGATCCAGGAAGTGGCAAACAAGAGGCTGTTCCAGAAGGGCGGGGCCAGAGGGAGGCCGCTGCTGGATTCCAGGTGGGAGAGCAGGTACATGGAGTGTGGGTCTTCCTTTGGCCCTGATCTGGAGAGCAGAGCAGTGGCTCTGACCCTCACCTCCCCTTGCTCTTCCAGGGCACAGTCCTCAGGATGTTCCGAGGGGAATAGAAGCCAGAACCAGAGCCTCTGACTCCTGTTCCCCCAGTGATGGGGTCCCCAACGAGTCACCTCCGGGCTGGCCTATGTGCGTTGGTGGTCTTGGGGTGGATAGGGGGCTCAGCCCCCAACCTGGGCCCTGCTGAGCAGGAGCAGAACCACTACCTGGCCCAGCTATTTGGCCTGTACGGGGAGAACGGGACGCTGACAGCAGGGGGCCTAGCGCGGCTTCTCCACAGCCTGGGGCTCGGCCGGGTTCAGGGGCTCCGCTTGGGACACCACGGGCCTCCAGCCAGTAGGGCTGTACCCCCAGCCGGCGACAATTCCACATACAGGTACTACCCTTTCTCCCACCCCAAAATACCACATCCCCTAGCTCCTCTAGGTATATCAGTCTCCATCAGCTCTTTTTTTGGCTTCTAAAAATCAGACTCCTGGAATTAAATTCTTCAGAACCTGTCTCCCCACATCTCTCAAAGACCCCTCTTGCCTCTATTGCCTCCTAATTCTCTCCTCCAAGCCCCTCAGCCCTCAGAGTCCTAGCTTTTAGTCCCAATGCTCAATGTCCCCAGGCTGACTTGGCTCCCAGGGTTTCGTATTTTTGGTTGTTCTCCCTCTGGTTTCTTACCCTATAGCCCCTACTCCTAGACTTGCCTATAAACTGACAATTCCCAGATCTTCTCAAGACTGGTGCTCCATGGTTTCTGGGTCCCAGGAACCCCAGCCAGTGACTGGGCCTCCCTTTTCCCCGACTCCTGTGGGAGCTTCTCAAAAGGAACCAAGAGAACGTGAGTGAGAGTTTGACTTGCTATCCCATCCATTTCAGGCTGCAGGACCCTGAGCTGAGTGTGGATGTCTGGGCAGGACTGCCTCTGGGTCCCTCAGGATGGGGTGGCCTGGAGGAGCCAGATGCCCCCCATGCTCCCCATGGGCCTGCCCCCTCGGGCCTGGACCTCTTTCATAGGCTTCTGTTGCTGGATCATTCGCTGGCTGACCATCTGAATGAGGATGTGAGTTTGATGGTCTTTAGAGACTGGGATTTAGATGGCCTGCAGTGTTTAGTCATTAGAAGTTACTTTAAAGAAAAATCCCAATGTAACCTTCGGGTCCATTATTCTAGTAGTAAAATATCTTCTCACTGAGCTCAGAGCAGGTGACACCATACCTAAGCTCCAAAAGACAGGTTAGGGGCCATACTTGGTAGAGAACCCAGAGAAACAGCCCAGGATCTTTGGATGGTTACCTGGAGAGGAGACTTGCAGGGAATGCCTGGCTATCTTCATCTAGAAAAGCAGTGACCTTGTTCCCCACACATCACAGGGCAGCCAAAGCTGGGGAGTATGTGAAAGGACTGTTGAGAGGGAGGTGAGATGGCATTTCAGGTTCTTTTGTCTCCTAAGATTCTGGAATCCAAACTCCATCACCAAACCCACAAAACTACCAAGACTTGGGAGGGAGGGAGATGATGGCAATGTTCATCAGTACCCAATTTACCTGTGGAATGGATACTCACTAAAGTGTAACACACACACATTGATTGTACATCCCCCAGTCCCTGAGGTGCCTGCCCATGTGAGCAAGGGGGACCCTGGGAGAGACCTGGAAGTCCCTGCTATGAAAAGATAGACTCGACAAATCTGAGTCACAGTTCCAGTGATATCCCAATGCATGACCCCCAACTCAACTCCCCTAGTGTCTGAATGGCTCCCAGCTGCTGGTCAATTTTGGCTTGAGCCCTGCCGCTCCTCTGACCCCGCGTCAGTTTGCTCTGCTGTGCCCAGCCCTGCTTTACCAGATTGACAGCCGTGTCTGCATCCAGGCCCTGGCCCCAGCACCCCCAGGGGATGTACTATCTGGTCAGTGGGTGAGAATGGGTGGGATAGTAGGCACCACACCAGGGAAAGAGGTTCCCTGGGCTCCTGCCTCTCCTTGCAGTATCTCTCTGCCCTGCCTCCCCTCTGGGCCTCTCCCATCTAGTCCTGGCTAACTGCAGCCCCTGGTCCTTCCAGCTCTGGTCCACAGTGCCCTGGCAGTCCTGCTGCTCAGCCTCCCTGCTCCCCTCTCCCTGCTGCTACTGAGGCTCCTGGGACCTCGTCTCTTGCGGCCCTTGCTGGGCTTCCTGGGGGCCCTGGCCGTGGGCACTCTTTGTGGGGATGCACTGCTACACTTGTTGCCGCACGTATGTGAAGCCCCTCCTCGTCACCCTGTCCCCAGTGGTGGTCCCATCTCCATATATCCAAGGTGTCCCCAGCGCAGGACAGCCCCTCCTCCTCCCTGCCAACTCCTGCATGCCACTCCCTCCCAGTAGAGTGCAGGAGTAAAGGTTTGCCACCTCCCCCAGGGGAGGGGGGTGCTACTGGGGTAGGATCTTCTGAGGTACGCCCTGAACACCTCTCTGTCAGGCCCAAGGAAGGCAACATACAGGGCCTAGCGGGCAACCGGAGGAGAACCTGGGTCCAGGGCTGTCAGTGCTTGGAGGCCTCTTCCTGCTCTTCATACTGGAGAACATGCTAGGGCTTTTGCGGAATCGAGGATTGAAGCCAGTAAGTGACACCCTTTCCTTCTCCTTCTGCTGAGAGCAAGAGCTGGGCAAACACACCAGGAGGTGAGAGGCAGTGTGCTTGCTCTTGGCTCTCTGGTATTTGCCTGATTGTGCAGGCCCTGTCAGCTAACAGGGAGTGGGTAGAGACTCCTCAATGTAGACCCAGGACCTCAGGCCAGATGGTCTCCTCTAGCGAGTTGAAATCAACAAGAAACAGAGGGAGGTGCCAACCTGGAAAGAAGGTAGAGAGGCCAAAGAACAGAGATGGAACCAGGTGTTCATTTTCCCAGCTGGTGGCCTGGTCAACCCCTTAGTTCCCGGCTCTGCTGCCTCCTCCACCAGGAGGGATGCCCTCCTATTTCAGAGATGCTGCAGGTGGAAAAGGCGGGATCTCGAAAGACCAAACGTGGACCCAGAGGATGGCAACGGGATGGCCCTTCAGCCCCTGCAGGCAGCTCCAGGTGACTACAGAAAATGGCAAGTAGGTTCCCAGCTCCCAGTCATCAGTTGCAGCAACCAACACTGTCCTTGTCCATCTCCCTACAGAGCCAGGGGCTCGGGGCCAGAGAGAGCAGGACAGCCAGCCCTCACTAACCCCAGCCCCTCCTGAGCACCGAGGCCACAGTCATGGGCACCAAGGTGGCGGTGGCACCAACATCACGTGGATGGTTCTCCTGGGAGATTGTCTGCACAACCTCACTGATGGGCTGGCCATAGGTGTGAGGGGACAGAATGGAGGCCAGCAGGCCAGGGCTCCTGGTTATTGGCTGGAGCTGGGAGAGGGTTCCAGGAAGGTGGGGAGAGGATATGAGGACTAAGGAGGGGATGCAGGTCCCTGGCTCCTCAGGAGGGCATCCTCCTGTTCTGACTACCTCCAATCCTGCCCGCCCTAGGTGCTGCCTTCTCAGATGGTCTCTCCAGTGGCCTCAGCACCACCCTAGCAGTCTTCTGCCATGAACTGCCCCACGAACTGGGTAGGAAGGGCAGAAGTGGGGTGGGGTGGAATCCAGAAAGGAGGGACCTCCAAGGGGCAGAACTTGAAGGCTGGCAGGTAACACGGGTGAAGGGCGGCCCCGGCTTATTCTCTCCTACTGTATCTTCTCTTTCCAACAGGTGACTTTGCAATGCTGCTCCAGGCAGGGCTGCCCTTTCGGCGGCTGCTATTGCTGAGCCTGGTGTCTGGAGCCCTGGGACTAGGGGGTGCAGCCCTGGGGGTGGGGCTCAGCTTGGGCCCTGTCCCGCTCACTCCCTGGGTGTTTGGGGTCACTGCCGGGGTCTTCCTCTACGTGGCCCTCGTGGACATGGTGAGAGGTGTGGGGTAGAGCAGAGAAACCAAGGGAAGTGGGGAAGTGGGTGAGGAGAGGGAAGCATCAGTCCCTCTACCTCCATCTACCTGGAAACCAGAGCTAGTGTCAGGCAAGGGTGTTGGACCACAGGCCTGGAAGAGTCTGAGAGACCAGGGGCTGGAAGAGTTGGGAGGGGTGGTGGCTGCTGCTACTCACTGTGACATCCTCCTGTTAAGCAGTCAGAGGCCAGGCCAGGGTCCTAACGTTCTTCTTTCTTTCAGCTACCGGCTCTGCTTCGTCCTCCTGAGCCCCTCCCTATGCTCCATGTGCTACTGCAGGGACTGGGGCTGCTGCTGGGGGGCGGCCTCATGCTCACCATTGCCCTGCTGGAGGAGCAGCTGTTGCCCCTGGTCACTGAGGGCTGACAAGGGCCAGTGACAAGGGGTCCAGGCTGCCCTTCCTTCCCCCCCGACCACAGGAATGGAGGCAGTACACAGGGCCAGTAGGAGCAATAGGATTTTAATAAACAGAACCCATCCCAAAGCCATGACTACGACAGTTGTACTTGCACCAAAACAGCATAGAAAACCAGGGTGTGGCGGGAGGAGGGCTCAAAGCAGGTTAGAGAAGGACACGTGTAGGGGCCCAGAAGGTGGAGGGGACAGGGACATCCATCTGCAGGGAGAGCATTGTGCTTTAGCCCGGGGAGAGGGGGTGGGGAGGGGCGGGGCAAATGCACAGGTCCCCACTTTTTTCCTGCTGCCCTCAGCACCCAGGGGATACAGGCATCTGGGCACATCTGCCCTTTATTGCTGCCCACCAGCATTAAACACCCCGACCCCAACACTAGCACCACAGGTGGATCCAGGGCAGAGAGAAGGGCAGGGACGGGAAAATTGCTTAGAGAAAGATTCAACTAGAATCCAGTGAATTGTGCTCAGTTCTCTTTACTTCCTACAACCGAGTACATGGGTTACAGGGTGCAGGGTGCAAGATGACATGGAGCATGCCCTCTGTGCCCCCCAACACACACCTGTACACAGGATGGTGGTGTCTGCAGCATCACAGGTCATGCAGGGCATAGGGGAAGGGGAGGTTCACACACACAGAGACGCCCACAGTGGGTACCAGACAGAGACCACCCCTGAATATACACAGCTGTACATGGGGAACCCCCAGGTCCCCGCCCCAACCCTCTCCCCTGTCTTGCCATCCCCCCGGGCAGGGGGAACTGTATTGCTTTGAGAGAGCCACCCTGGGGGCTGCTCTGCCAGGCACCCTCCCCTCCCACCCACCCCCATTTTGGCACATCTGCAAGACACAGGGCAGCAAGAATAGGCGCCCTCTCCCCCAGGCTTCTGTGGCGGGGGCTGGAGAAGGGAGGAGGAGACAGTCATCCTCTACCTCTCCCCTAGCCCTTCCCAAACCCCTGCCAAACCCACTCCAGCCAGCACCCACCCCCGCCCCCAAAACACACACATACGAAGCTGAGCTATCCAGGAACACAGGGGGACGAGGAGATTGTCTGGGACGGGAGGGAGTGGAGGCAGCGGGGGTAGAGGACTGGAAGCAGAGACCCCACCCTGGTGTGGGGGCAAGACTGGCACAACAGCTACTTTAGTGCAATTGGAGAGGGCGCCCAGAGTGAGGGATGGAGATGGGAGGGGAAGGTTCTCCCGAACTTCCCTGGGGGCAAAGTCAGGCTTCCTGACTCCCCAGGGAAAGGGCCCAGCAGGAGTGAGCAAGGGCCAAGGGTAGATCCTTGTTACCCGCCACCCTCTGCCTCCCAAATGCAGTGACAAGTGTCCCCCGCACACCTACGTGGGCAACAGCAGCCTCGGAGTCAGTACCTTCAAGTAATTCAAAGAGCAGACCCTCCCCGCCCCAGCTTCCTCCCGTCTCTGGGATTTGGTCGCTTCTTTAGGGGTTGGGTCAGGAGGAGGGAGTCCCCAAGTCAGACCCTTCCCTCTCTATCTCCCTGTCCCAGACCACTGGGCTTGGTCCTCAAAGATTCCTTACCTCCACCCTTGTCCGACCTGGGTCAAGGCAGCGGAGGGCTGGAGCCACCACAATTAGAGGGGAAGGGACTGCTTTGCTCCTTTTCCCTCCTTCTGAAAAGGTGGGGTTCAAACTAGGTGGAATGGGGGGCCCATACTGGTTTGCCCCAGGAGCAAGTTTTCTGGGCTAGGGTCTGTAAGGCTATTTTCCTTTGCAGTGGGAGGGGGAGGTGGGGGATGAACACTGGGTGTGGGGGGAGAGGGAGAAATGGCAGAGGGGGAAGGAGGAAGGCAGCCTTGCTGGAGCATAAAGTCCTTGGGGTCATATGAACAAAGAAACACTCATGTGCGTAATATACAGAGTGTGCCTACCCCCAACCCCTCCAGCCTGGCCCCAACCCCACCTCTCAGGGTCTCTTCCAAGAACCTGGAGGAGGTTTTGGGGGTACAGCTGTAGAACCGTTCACTCTGGCTCCACCCACCCCACCCCTAGCCTCTTCTCCCCTTGGGTGGGCAGACAGCGGTGGAAACAGTATTGAGTTTTCCTTTGGTTACATATTGAAGGCAAAGGTGAGCTGGACTTACAGTCAAAACGGATAGGGGTGAGGAAGGAAGAGGGCCATGGCTGGGGTTGGAGAGGGAGGCAGGCCCTCCTCAGCCCCTCCACCCCAAGGAACATATGTCTAAATGGGGTGGCATTCCCTCCATCTCATCTCTTCCACCCCCCACAGCACCAAACAAAGGGAGAAGCCCCCTCCCCCAGGGGCTGCTCCCCACCCCCACCTGGGCTGTACATTCAGTGGTTTTCAGCAGTCCTATGGCTCAGGGGGCCACGGGTGGGGGAGGTGGCCCATCAGTCTCAGCTGGACAGTGGCAGTGACCTGGGTCTGTTGGTCCATCCCGGGACCCACAGTTTGTGCCATTCGTTTGTCTGAAGGATAGTACACAACCCTACCAAAGCCACCGCCCAATCAGAAACATCCCCCTAAAATTCAGAAACTAAAAACTGGCTCTTTTCATCTCACCCTCTGATTCACATGTCTGTTTCCCTGTCTCCTATGTAGCCCTCACTCTGTCTCCTTTGCTGGGACCTGGGGCTGTTCCCAGGGTCCACACTTGAAATAGGCCTTTTCACAAAAGTGCTTATTACTTGAAGCAAGTGCTTTAGAGCTGTGTGGTGGGGAGAGGGGGAGGGGGAGGAGGTGAAGGGTAGGAGATGTTTCCTCCCCACCCTACCCCCTTAAGATTGGGGGGCATTCCGCCTGTTTTACTTCTCCACACCCGTTTAAGTCAAAGAGGTTTTTTTTTCTTTTTCTTAAAAAAAAAAAAAAAAAACATTAAAATAAATAATGCAGTGGCCATGAGAATGGTCAAAATGCTTCAAAAAACACTAGGGGCTGGGGTGCCCAGGGTGGGGTGTGGGATTTCCTTTGGCATAAGGAGAGGAGGCTGCTTGTCCTCCAGGCCTCCTCACAACCGCATGAGGAGGGCAGAGGACTCCCTGCAACCTTCCCCAGCACACTCACAGTGCGCTGAAGGGGCCGCAGGGATGGGCAGCCGCCGGCAATCTCATCCAGCAAAACAACGGGGCTCTTGACAAAGACTCAAGAGTCTTCCTGTCATCACCAAACATTGATAAAGGAGAACACGACTGACACCCCGAGAGTCTCCTCTGGAGAAGCCATCTCCCTGCTTCCCCTGCCCCCACCACCTAATTCCCAGCACCAAAATAAGAGGGAGGGGGCGGAATGGGAAGATTTTCAGAGAGATAACTGAAGTTAGGGGGCAAGCTTTGCAGAACCAGCAGGGTTGGGGTGGGGGGCTGCAGCCCTTAAGAGAGGTCACATTGATTGTCGTATAGGGGAGGACAGGGTATGAAGGGAGGTGGGGAAGAGGGGCGTCACAAGGCCCTTTGGCTTTGAAAACAAAAATAAAAACTAAAAGCTGCACAATCCTTCTCACCAATAATGGTCATTTGGAACCTTTGAAATGCTTTAGGAACTGAGGATTGAGGGAAGCAAGACAGAGACGGGGGTAAAAAGGGACTACGAGACAAACAAACAAAAAAGGAGTAAGGACTTGGATAAACACCCCAGACTTCAGGGAACTGGGATGAGGTATGATTAAGGGTATCTATCTGGGAAGGGAGGGATCCCTGGGATGCCCCCTCTCAGACTACCCTTAGCAAGGGTGGCAAGACTTTCAAGGAACAAACGGAAAAGTGGGTAATAGCGTCAATAAAGCAAGCTAGGGTAGGGGAGGAGGCCAAGGGATCCCCCAGGGGAAGACCCTCCATACTATGTAAACGAAGCCGGTCCAGTTCTCAGGGGACAATACTGATGGCAGCCAAACTGGGCAAGGATGCACTGTGGGGGTGGAGGGGGCATGACCTCTATTCAAGTTCTGTGTCTTGGCCCCTGGCTGAGGTATTGAGTGTGAGGAAGGGAACACTGGGCTGAGGGAGTGGGTCCAACTGTCCAGGAGGCTTAGCTAGGAGATGGGTGGACAGGGCATTTAAAGGGACCAGGGCCAAATTCAATGCTACATTTAGAGAGAAAACTGCCCCCTCCTCACTCCAGCCCAGTTTGGCTTTTGGGGTGCAACTTTTAGGAATCTTATCAGTGCAGCCCTAGCTCAATCCCATCTCTCCCAGTGCTGAGGAGGCAGGGACCAAGCTGCAGTAACTATTTATCACTCCCTCGATCAGAGCTTCAACCTCACACTGGAGGGGAAGTCTGGGTCCCGAGTAGCTACGGTTCCCTAGTCTGCCCTGCCCCTCCCACCATCTTTGGCTTCAGATCAGGAGTGACTGGGGGTGGTGGGTACGCTGGACTCAGTGAGAGGGTGGAGGCAGACAGGGGGCACAGAGGGCTATGGGGTTGGAGGACACAGGAGGAAGAACACAGTCCCTCCCTCCTCACACATGCAAACACATGCCTAAAAGACTTAGGACATACTAGGGCTGTGGTTTTGAAATGGGCAGGAAATTAATTTGATTTTTCCCCTAAAGGATAAAATGCTTACTTAAAAATTCATGACAAGCCTCAAACTTAAGGTAGGGGAAAGCGAGGGAGGGAATGGCCACAGGCTCTGCCCTCCAAAAAGAAGTTAAAAGAAAGAAGCAAGGTTAAAGTGCGTGGTTGGGGGCCAGGCCAGGAGTGGGGGTGGGAAGGAGGGCGGAAAGGAGGAAGGGGCAGGCTGTGGGGGCAGAACCAGCCCTTGATTTGCATATGAGGAGCCAGGGGAGAGTGCAGGATTGGGGCCCAGGTACAGTAGTTGCTGCTTCAAGTGTTTTGCATGAACTTAAGGGGCAGATGGGTAGAGAAGTGGGGAAAAAGCTCCAGGCCCCAGTGCTAAACCCTCCCCCCTCGTCCTCTAGCTGCCCCTGAAGGGGGAGGGGGCACCCCCAGAGTGCTCACACAGTACCAGAAATTAAGGCTTCTCACTGCTGCGGGGATGGAGGGGCCAGCCGAGCAGGGAGGCAGTAATGGGTATGGAAGAAGAGGGGGAGATCTGCCTGGCAGTAAGGGGAGGGGGAGGGGGACACAGAGGGGACAGCCAGAGGGAAGAATAAGGGAGCTGGCAGCAGAAAGGGGGAACTGAGAGATGGGGGTCACAGAGAGGGGGAGCCAGGCATTTAGCAATCATTTTGGGACACTTGGCAGAAGGGGTTGCCCTGGGGGTACTAAGGGCCTGGGGTGCTCCCTGTCGGTCCCAGACCCCTGCCAGGCCAGGATGGTGTGGCAAAGGGGTGAGCAGCAGCTCCCCAGTGCTTTTTCCTCCCCTCCACCCCCCCACCCAGTCGTGTTCTCCTTTAAAGTGCCCTAAATGTATAGACTTTTTCTAAATAAATAGAATAAGATATCAAGCCACCGGCAGGGGGAGGGACAGTGGAGGGGAGCTACTCTGAGTAGCAGCCATCTAACCCAATGGCGCCATGCCGCTCCTGGCTGTAGGGGCAGGAGGCCCCATGGGGCAGGGCACCGCAGCCACCCACCGTCTTGGCTGCTGCGATGCCGCAGTTCTTGAGCAGGCTGAAGCTGAAAGGACTGACGGTGTCCTTGGGTGGGAAAGGCTTCATGGTGGAGAGGATCAAGGCCAGGCAGTCTGCCACGTCTTTGTTAGGGGCGCAGGCTAGTGCTGGGGTGTGACCTGCAGGGTCAAGGTCAAGAAACTGAGGCACAGGGCCCTATATCCTGTACCCTCAGAGACCCTGGCACAGTGGTGTTGGGTCCCTGCTCTGAAGAGTTCCTTTGGGAAGAAAATCTAAACTTTATAGCAAGGTTAAGAGGTCACCTCTTGAAGAATGTCCCTGACCCCAAACCCAGGAAAAGCAGGGGGCTCTGGATACTACCACCCACCTTCTTCATCCACAGCCAGCACTGTGGCCCCACGACTCAGCAGGGCCTGCACCACAGAGGCTAGACCATTCCGGGCAGCAATGTGGAGTGGCCTTGGGAGGAAGGACAATGAAGGAGACTTAAGTCAGTGGGCTTCACCACAAATACCATGAGCTCCAGGGCTCCTGGAATCTGAGCCACTCTCTCTTCACCCACCTGCCTCCCCCAGCCAGGAGCCCCCTTCCCCAGGCACTCACATCTGCAGCGCACTGTTGGTAGCATTGATAAGGCCAAGGTCTTGGGTTTCTGCCAGGATCATAAGGGCACACTTTTCATGGCCCTGAGGGAAAGGAGCAGAGAGTAGAGACTTATCAAGTAGAGGCGCGACGGGCAGAGGAATAGGAGCTAGGGAAGACAGGCAAGGGACAAGAGCTATCCCACAAGTTAGACAGGCTGGACAATCCTGACTTTTGCTCTAGTCTTCTCTCACATCAAGCCTGACCTACCCCCTCATCATGAAGCCCTGCCCCTTGTATCAGGAAGCCCACCACCACTCCTGGCCATACCTTGCTACAAGCCAAGTGAAGGGCAGTGTTCTTGTTCTCATCCAGCACAGTAAGGTCTGCCTTCCCTCGATACAGCAGAAATTCTATAGGAGAAGGGTGACACTGAAGGACTGACGCTTCTCTCCAAAGAAGCAGCCATTCTGACTCTCTGCTCTCTTTCTGCATAGACTTTGCATCTGAATCACAGAGGGTCAAACATCCAAAGATACCCCTCCTGCATCCTGAGCCTCTCCCCCACTGGACTCTTCCCCCACCAGGGCTGGCTATCTGGCAAAGACCCCAGGGGAGCTCCTCCCCTCCACACAGGGCCCCTACACACCCACAGCAGCGGTCTGCCCATTTTCAGCCGCCGTCATGAGCGCAGTGCGGCCAGTGTGGTCAGTGGCGTTCACCTCAGCTTGATGCTGCAGCAGCATCCGGAGCCCAGAGACATTGTCCGCGAAGGCAGCGGCGTGAAGGGGGGTCCTATGGGGAGAAGGTCAGGACAGAGTGAAGTGGGGGAGGCTCTTCAGCCTGGGTCTAAAGAGGAAGACAGATGCTCTGCAGGCTCCCATCACTCACCTTCCTTTGGCATCTCGGCTGTTCACAATCTTGGCACCCAGAGCTCCCAGCAGCATCTCTGTGGTGCTGTCCTGGTTATTAATTCTGGGTGAAGAGGCAGGAGGGGTCACCAGGAGAAGCAAGGGAAATGGACCGCCTGTCATAAGCCCAGGCCCCTCTCAAGGGTCAGTGATAACAGGAAGGGCCTTACACTGCACAGTGCAAAGGAGTGAAGGGGTTTCCTTCCAGGTATGAAAATGGGCTGTGTTCAAGTAACAACTCCAGACAATCTTCATGTCCTGGGTGTGAGGAAGAAAGTGATGATGAAGCAAAAAGACAACAGGTCCCTTCTACGTGTCCTATCTCATCTCTTGACACCCCATCTCACTCTCAGATTCAGACCAACTCAGTTCTCTTCCACAAACCACTTGTCCTTGGTCTTGGTTCTTGTCTGCTTTCTTCTACACCCAACTCGCACACATTGCTGCGTGTGCCACCGGCCCCAGACCCTTACCAGTGTAGGAGGCCCAGTGCATGGGCGAATATCCGCTGTAATCCACCCCAGCATCCAGGGGGTCTGTGGAAAGGGCAGCCTGCAGGAGGGTCCGCAGGACTGCAGTGTGGCCACAGGCTGAGGCCAGGTGAATGGGTGTGCGACCCTTGAAGTCTCGGCACAACACAAACGCATCGTGGTCCAGCAGGGCAGCCAGGCAGTCCTCACAACCAGTCACTGCCTATGCGTGACCAGGGGGAGGGGTGTGTGTAAGTGGAGGGCAGAGCCACTCCCTATCCACTGGCCAGCTGCTGAGGGCTGGCCCAGGAATAAGAAGCACTCCAGGATTCCAATCTTTGTCAGGCGGTGGCATCATTATCTAATGTGACAGGGCCAGCAAGCTATCTTAGGGACGGGTCTGGGTAGTGAGCACATGGTTGTACGTGATTATAGAACAGGGTTATCAGGGACATCAGCTGGGGATAGAACAGAATAAGACCCCCTAAGACCCTGGGCACAAAATCCTGTCAGTCCACCTGATAGATGATCCGACACCCCACTGCTGGTAGGTCCTGTGCTCCCACACTGCAGGCCTATCTGTGAAGGATCCCACCGAGGGCTCCAACAGGAGCTCACTCACCCCCCGGTGGAGGGCGGTGCGGCCCCGGAGGTCAGCAGCATCAGCTGTGGATCCTTTCTCTAGCAGCAGATGTACACAGTCCACGTGACCATTCATGATGGCCAGCATCAGTGGGGTCCTGCAAAGGGGGTGGGAGAAAGGGTGAGGGTCTGGCAGGGACAGGAAAACCTGCATCACACCATGGGCCACACTCACTGTCCATAGGCATCCATGACGTCTGTGATATCAGCTCGCTCTCCACTGTCAATCAGCAAGTGCAGGGAATCAGTGTGGCCAGAGGCAGCTAGGAGAGAAGGGAGCACGTGTCAAGGAAGGATCAGGAAGAGGGAGGCCAGGTCCAACCTAAGGGACTCTGCTATTAATTGTCGTTGAGTCGATTCAGACTCACGGTGACCCCATGCATGCAGAGTAGAACTGTTCCACAGAGTTTTCAAGGCTGTGACCTTTTGGAAACAGATCATCAGGCCTGTCTTCCAAGGTGCATCTGGGTTTGAATGGACAACCCTTCAGCTGGTAGTTGAGCACTTAACCATCTGTGCCACTCAGCCACCTAAAGGACTCTAAGATTATAGAAAGACTTAGGGCAGGGTATAGCAAGCTACAAAGCAGGACTTGAAATCTCCATCCTCCTTACCCTACCCCACTTCCAACTCTAAGCCCATTCAGCTGGGATTTGGGGACCAGCCTCCAAGGCCTGGTGTGAAAGTGTGTACCAACCAGCAGCATGCAGGGGTGTCCACTTGCGCTTGCGCTCCTTGATGAGGGCAGAGGCGCCATGGGCTGTAAGCACCTCCACACACTCAGTAGAGCCTCGCTCAGTGGCCAGAAAGAGCGCGGTCCGGCCCTTGTGGTCCCTTACATCCAGATTCACCAGCGTCTCAGCCAGCGTCTTCAGGGCTTCACAGTGACCGTTGTAGGCCTGGATGTGTGCAGGCAACCAATGGACATAGCTAGGGACATGACCCAAACCCCTCCCTGCCCTGCCCCACTCTTGGGGCCCCTGGAAGGCCCCAAGTAGAAGTCTTCCACATGTTCCGCACACCCCCTCCCCTTCCCCTCTCCAGACCACCGCCAGCTTCTGCACAAGAAGACAGAAGCAGATGCATTTAGAAGAGCCAAGACCTATGTGTGGTCCTGTAAGGGCAGGTTAAGGATAAAGAAGGCAAGAAGAAAACTTGGAACTCACAGCTAAGTGCAAAGGGCTGACTGGAATGGTGCTCTCCACATCCTCCAGGCAGTTAAAGGACATTTCTAAGAGCTGCAATGGACAGGACAGTAAGTGCTGGAACTTCCAGGATATTACCTCATCCCCCAATCCCCCAAACGCTTGATCTAGAGACCACATTGAAGTCCCAGTCTCAACCACCCCTTGGTTTCGGAACCCATAAACCCAAAGGTAGAAAGCATGTCTGGCCCCTTTCTCCCCTTCCTCAGGCCAGGTCGGACACATACCAGTTCGAGGTTCTGTCTGTTGCCATAGGCGGCTGCATAGTGCACAGCTGTGTAGCCCTGCCTGTCCCGCAGGGAGGGGTCTGCACCGTTATCCAGTAAGAACTCCAGACAGCTGGGGAGCCGAGGATAGACTGTGAGGCAGGGGCAGGCCCAGCCCTGAAGGGCACAGTTCTGAGGGGCGGAGGAAAGGGGCCTATCTAGCCAACACCCATCCTCTGCTCTAGGTGTGCGCTCTAAATCCTGCTCATTCTTCAGCCCCAGCTCCAGACCTAGCTCCTCCCAAAGTCTGCCCTAACAGCCCTCCTTTATCCTTTGAACTCTCTCCTACAAAACCTAGAATACAACCATCAGCTATCAACCTTCTCTTCTGCTGGTTAACTCCTGTTTCCAGGCATGCTTACCCCTGACCAGAATAACTTCTCCGAGGCCATCTGAAGAAGTCTTAGTTATATGAACTCAGTCCCAGGACCTTCTCCTCTGTGAGGCCTTTCCTACTCTTTCCAATTAGATGCCTCCTCCTTTGTGGTCCCTTGGCACCCTTTTTATAGCTTAGAAATTGTAGTTGTAGTAGTAGCAGTAATAATAAAGTATTTAATATGTGTCAAGCACTATTCTAAGTACTTCACATGTGTTAAATCATTTAAGCTTCATAATGACCCTATTAGGTAGATACTATTTTTATTCTCACTTATGATTGAGAAAATTGAGGCACAGAGAGGTTAAGTAATTTGCCTGAGGTCACAAAGCCTGAGCTTCTTGAATTTCAGATGTCTTTAAAAACAATTTTTTTTTTAAGTTTTTGATTTACAGAACAATTGCGAAGATAGTACCAAGAGTTCCCATATACCCCTCACCCAGCTTCCCCCATTATAAACATCTTACATTAGTGTGTGCCAACTGCTCTTTTATCTGTCTTCCCTACAGACATTTAGGGTAATTAATCTTTTATTTTTAGCATCTAGCATAGTACTTTTGAGGAGCTTTGGTAGTGCTGTGGTAAAGGCATTTGGCTGCTAACCAGAAGGTTGGTGGTTCAAAACCACCAGCTGCTCCACAGGGGGAAGATGAGGCAATCTACTTCCACAAAGATTTACAGCTTTGGAAACCCTATGGGGATTGTGATAAGCTGGAATTGACTCAATCGCAGTGGTTTTAGCACAGTACTTGGTAACAGTAAATTAACACTTATGAGATAACAAATGATCTTGCAGGTGTGCGTTTAGCTTTTCTGATCTTCTCAAGACCATCTGTTCCCCGAGGGAACACACTTTTGTCTTGACCACAGTGCTTAGTACATATAAGGCTAAGCCCAGAGTGCTCAAGAAATACTGTTAGCTGCCTGGAGGGATGGCAGCAGAGGTGTGGCAGCGGAGAGTGGGTGGGAGACATACACCCAGAGTTGGCATTTTGGGAAAACCAAAATGCATCCCAGGAGCCTTTCCAGCTACTCACAAGAAGGCCTCCTTCCTGCGGGACTCCTTCAGTGGCTCGTCCTCTTCAGCGTCGTGGCTGGAAGCTGAGTGGGGTTCCGCTCTGGGAGAGAGATAGTGAAGAAGTTAGAGGAGGCTTGGAGAGATGAGCAGGGCTGAGAAGGAACGAAGTGGGAGTCTACCTCCTGTAAGTGTCGGAGGCGGCGGCATAGTGGAGGGGAGAGCAGCCTTTACAGTCGGCCTCGTTGACGCCAGCCCCAGCAGTCACCAGTGTGACTGCACACTGGTAACTGCCATTGGCAGCTGCATAGTGCAGTGGGGTCCTGAGGGAGAAGTGAAGGAGGAGGGTGAGTAAAACAATCAGGGACAGATCCAAATGCAACCAGATGTGCAGGCAAAAACTGGCCTATAATAGTCTCCTCACTTAGTCTCCAGCCCCTCACCCTTCTCCTCTCCCAGTTCTCTCTCTAATCAGACGTTCCTATGTATATCCCCACAGACACTAACATACCTTCCAAATTTGTCCCTTCTCCTCAAGTCAGCTCCACTGCTCAAAAGCAAATTAAGACATTCAACATTCCTAAAAGGAAGGAAGATGAGGGTTGAGAGTGAGAACCTCAAGGAGAAGCCACAGACCCAGGGAGGACCTAAGGAAGGCTAGAACTAACAGCCCCTCTGCTGTGACTGTTTCATTGTGAGAAGGGAAATAGATCTGGGCTGGAAAGACCAAGGAGCCAAGACCCCTGCCCAGCTCTTCTCAAGGCTTTGGAGAAAGGCAGGAGAATTCACCCTCCAGAAGCAGCAGCATGAAGACAGGTGCGGCCGAGGTTGTCAGGCGTATTGATGTCAAACCCAGCCGAGAGGACGTGCTCATTGCTGAGTGAAGATACAATGCTGTACAGCTGACCTGGAGGCAGAACATCACCTATCACATCAGAGGGCACAGAGCAGGGAGGGAAGGCCTCGACTCTCCTGCACACTTGCCCAACCCTCCAGCCCATCATTAGCACATACCTGAGGAAAGAAGCTTACGACAACAGTCAGAGAATCCAAAGAGAACAGCTAAGTGCAGGGGAAACATGTCATGGATGCCGCGCCTGGGGAGAAGTTTAGGACTCAGCCCTGGGGTCCAGGGTTGCCAGTTATAGTCCTCTTTTCTATAACCTTCCCCTCCCAACTAGCCAAAGAGTCAGGGTAGGAGGTGGTAGGGGGCTCCAAACGTTCCTTTGGCAAGCCTCTTTTTGCCTCCATGTTTGACGGGAGAGGTCTGTGCAGGTCTGAGGTGACCCAGAGGTTGGGGCCAGGAGCCCTGACTCACCGGGCGGTATCCGCGCCATTGGTCATGAGGGTGCTAATAAGCAGCTCGTGTCCGTAGCGAGCAGCCACGTGCAGTGGCGTGTTCCCAAATTTGTCCGCACAGTCAATCTCACTGCCTAAGAGGAGGACACGTGCATACAAACTCAGGCAGACTTTAGGCTTTGCCTGAGGCTACTCATGTTTAGTGAGTGCTTATTATGTGCCACATGTGGCCTAAGCACTTTGCATGTATCTCATTTTTATATCATTTTTAAGCCTTAGGGGCCTGGGCAAGGCAGAGCAGGGCCCATTTCCATAGGTACCCTGCTTAGGGATCCAGGTCCCTAACCCCACTGAGAAGATGAAATGGGAAGTGGCATAAGGAAGAAAGCAGGTTTCTAGGAATGAGTTCCCTTTGGCAGGATGAGAGAACAGTTTCCAGAGTGCATACCATTCTGGATGAGGATCTGGGAGCGGGTAAAACGGCCGTGGATGGCAGCCATGTGCAAAGGACTTTTCCCTTCTTTGCTCTGTGGAAACATGGCATTTTTCAGTGCAAAGCACACAGGATACCCTGTTCCCCTTTCCAAAGGACACATCCCTGGAGACACACTGGTCATATGGGCATCTTCTCAGCCCACACTCTCCTAAGTCTCTAGCAAGGTCTGTTCACCCCAGGAGGGACAATTCCCCAAGAAAGTTATGCAGAGGGGGTGATATATAGGCAAGACTCCCGAAGCCAGGTTCCTCTCCCCACTAGTCTGAGCCTCATCCCTTCAAGCACCTGATAGTTGACATCGGCCCCATTATTAACCAATAGCTCCAAGCAGAGTGCGCCATTGGTGGAGACTGCAGCTACATGCAGTGGTGTGAAGCCCTTGTCATTCGGCTGGTTGACATTGGCTCCTGCATTCACCAGCTCAATAGCCACAGCATCCTGGCCCAGGTAGCAGGCGATGTGCAAAGCTGTGTTTCCAAAAGCATTGGGCTCATCGATCTGGATTTCCAGGGGAGAGGGTAACGGGGTAGGGTATCAGTTTAAACAAAGTGGAAGCCAGCATGTATAGTCTAGAGATTACCAGAACTCTGACTGTCTCAGCCCCCTCAGGCTCCTGACACAAAAGACTGAGGGCACTATTACTAAAAACTAAGAATAATTCAGATCCTCTCACAAAATCCCCCCAACCTCCTAAAACCACACCAACAACCTGAGCACTTTCATTTCTCCATAACAAACTGCCCTCTAACTCCCTGTCCGTACCCAGGACCCTGACCTCAGCTCCCATTCGGAGCAGGTACTTCACCACTTCAATCTGGCCACTGGCAGCAGCCGTATGGAGCAGCCCATAGCCCTTGCGGTCCTTGCAGCCAAGGTCTGCACCCCGAGCCACCAGCAGTTTCAAGACCTCCAAATGCCCTGGGAAAAGAGAGGATGCTCTCAAAGAGGTGGAAGGTGCACCCTACGGCCCTGAGCTCCTCTCCCAAAAGCCACAAACAACCCACACCCCTGTCAGGAAATCCTATATGAAAAATTCCTGCTGTTCTCACGAATTCTTTCTCACCTAGAAAAGCCGCCCAGTGCAGAGGCTGCCGCTCCTTTTTGTCACAGACATTCAGGCTGGCTCCTTTGTTGAGGAGCAGATTCACCATCTGTAGCAGGATATGGAAGATAACTGTTCAGAGCGTCAACCTACCTAAAAGCAGAGGCCTCATTTCCTGAAAAGGCCAAGGCAGCTTTTGTTCTTGAGTAGAACAATGTGGAAAACTAGAAGGAACAGAGGAAGCAGGTACTAAGGAGACACTAGATTGATAGGAAGGTTCAAAGGAAACTCAAAAGAGTCTCCTCGGGTGATCTGGTGATTCTTAAACTCATATGAGTCCATGAAAGTGTGTTGAAAGACATGGACTCTCTCCTCAGAAAAAGACATGCACATAAACATTTTGCATGCAATTTCCAAGATGCATCGACCCCCTGAAGTCCAAGTCAAGAATTTCAACCAGTCCAACCATTCATTTGGGGCTTGAGCCCAAGTGTTTATATAACCATTTGGGTTTCTCCCTCAAGAGGCCTAATGGCCCAGAAGCAGGGAGGGGTGAGTAGAAAGGGAAGGAAAGGGAAGGCACTAGGCCTGGATTGGAGCAGTCCTCACCTCGAGATGCCCACTATGCACCGCATGGTGCAGGGCACTGCGCCCGCTCCTGTCAGCCACGTTGAGGCTGCTCAACAGGGGTGCCAGTGCCTCAGCACACTTGGTGGCCCGGTTGGCAGCAGCCACGTGCAGTGGTGTCTGCCACAGCTTGTCTCGGGCATTCACATCTGCTGAATGTGCCAGCAGCAGCCCCAGCACCTTCTGTTGAGAAGCAGGGATATGAGAGAAGACAGAGAGGGAGCAGGAGGTAAAACAACAGGAAATGGAAGGAGGAATAAGTCAGCATGCACACATGACCCTACTGCCTCCAGCATGGAGTCTCTGCTCAATTTTCCAACATACCCAGCTTCTCAATACCTACTTCCTATCTTCTGGATCTTCCTAGGGCTCCTTACCTTGCTGGGGAAAACATGAACTCCTTATACCTCCTCAAGCCATCTGGTATCACTCCCCAGTCCCCCCACAAAAAAGAAACACCAAACTCGCTGTCGTTAAATTGATTCGACTCACAGTGACCCCTCCTTGGGTGTCCGAGGTGGTATCTCTATGGAATTAGACTGACCAATCTTCCTCCCAAGGAGTGGCCCAGACACTGAAAATCTTCACTCACACATACATCTTCCCCCAAGCAAACCCACACACGTAGAGGATTCCAACCCCTCAGGACTTCTAGAAAAAATAAAACTCTCCTGCTACATTATGTCCTGCAGACCCTCCTTTAGTCCTTCCATAGGCACTACAGTCATTTTCATTACCTCTATAAACAAACTGGTTCATCTTCAAAACTGAAGCTAAAATGCCCCCCCTAAGCACCATCCACGGGAGCTCTGGTGGTGTAGTGCCTAAGGCATTTGACTGCTAACCAAAAGCCTGGCAGTTCAAACCTACTCCTTGGAAGGAAGACTGGGCAATCTACTTCTGTAGAGATATCGCCTCGGAAACCTGAGGAGGGGTGGCTAAGAGTCAGAAACTATTTGACGGCAGTGAGAGAGAAGCACCATCAGGAGCTCTGGTAGCACAGTGCTGAAGGCATCTGACTGCTAACCAGAAAGTTGGTGGTTCAAACCCACCAGTCACTTTGCTGAAGCAAGACTGGGCAGTCTACTTCCGTAAAGACCTACCACCTCGGAAACTCAATGGGGGTCGCTATGAGTTGGAATCGACTCGATGGCAGTGGGATTTTAGGAACCACCATCCACCTCATTTCCATTGGTCTCAGACCCTGCCCCTGGTATCTGGAACCAGCAAAGTGGCTGTCTAACCAAGAGAGGTCTCCTTTTTCCCTCTCCAGAGTTGATGGGATGAGGTCTGTTTGGCCCCTGCGCTATCAGTTTTCCTGCTGCTTGAGGGACAGAGATGCAACAGATCGCTAGTCCCATCCCCCCATCATAAGGAAAGAAGTCTCAGTGCCCAAAGGGGGATCAGACTCCAAGGTGGCCCCCCAGGGAGGGATGAGTCACTCAGACCTGGCAAGAGGGCCCCCTGCAGTCTGCCAGTCTGGTGTTAAGCTCTCCCTGACGTCACATCAGCTGGCAGCACTCAGCTCCCCCCTTCCCGGCCAGTTCTAAGGGTAGCAAGGCCAAGGTCTGGTCACTTCCCTACTTGGGTGAAGAACAGCAGGTAGGGCAGAGGATTGAGGCACTCCAACCTCCAACCTCCACCTTGAATCAACTCCTCTTTTTTGGAAGGGTGAAAGGGGATGGAAGGCCCATACCTCATTTCGGGAGGCAGCGGCACGATGAAGGGGGGTCAGCCACAGTGTGTCCTTAGCATTGACATTAGCACCTGTGGGAATATAATTTCCTTTTTTGATGAGCGATGGGGAGGAGGGGGGGGAGGAAGCCAGTAATCAGGCCACAGAATCTGGAAGGTGCCTGAGCCTCCCCTGGACCAGAGAACAACCCTTGCATATGCTGGGATGGAAGAAAAGACTCCTCCCTTCTCCTCCTCCCTGACGTGCCACACCTTCCACATTCCCACTTTCACCTGACATCAGTAGCAACTGGAGGATGGGGACATCGCCTACGTAGGCAGCAGCATGCAGTGGGGTTCGCCTCTCTTGGTCCTGGGTGGGCAGAAAGAGGAGCGGCTGTGGAAAGAACTATTCCGGCTGGAGGGCCCCAGCCTAAGTCTTAAGGTTACAAGCTCTTCCCACAGGCTCTGCAGCCTCCTAAATCCCGGTACCGGTACCGAGAGTCAAAGACAAACACTTAAGGAGGGTGGAGTCAGGGCCACAGCACCGAGAGCGGCTCCTTCTTCCAGGAGGGGAGGGGGCGCTGCAGACCCCGAAGGTTGAGAAGAGAACACCTTTTCTAGGCATCTCCAGCTCCTCGGGTGTGCACTCTGAGCATGACCAGCTCTCCATCCCCAAATGCAAAGCAGGCACCCACCCAGGGTGAAAAGAGCTCGGCCTCACTCGAGTTTAGGAAGCACGGAGCCGCCCCACTGGTGGGGAGGGGTCCAGAACACCGGAGCCCGGATTCCGGGCTCGCCATCCTCCGGCTCCCAACTCACCAGCACATTGATGTTCTCTTTCTGCGAGAGGAGGGAACGCACTTCCTCCACATCTCGGCTAAAGATGGCCTGGACCAGGGGCGGCTGCGGGGAGAACCGGCGGTCAAGGAGCGGGCCGGAGCCGAACCAGGACCGGAGGGGGGGCACCCAGGATTAAGGGGGAGGAGTTGCTAGAGGGGCTCCGCTCTGAGGGTCCTGCCTGCAGCAAGCGGGTACCTACGGTGTCTCTGTCGGTCGCCAGGCCCCCAAGGACATCGGCTTGGATGAAGGGAGTGCGGCTTGGGGCGGGGCGGGAGTCGCGGGAGCCCCGGGCTCGGGCCCAGCCTAGGCCGCACATCCCCGGGCTCGCGTGGCGGCGGCGCCGGGCCCTGGAAGGAGGAAGCGGGAAAGGGCAAGAGATCTGACCTGGTCCGTGATGCTGAGGATCCCCATGGCCCGGCCCGGGCTCCGTCCGCATCGAGCTCCCG